ACGGCCAGGGGGCGAGGGGGGGTCACCTTTCACCCGACCAGAAACAGATGAACGACCACGAGTTTGTAGGAAAGTAAACGACAGGCTACACGCTACATATGCCACATTGCTACAGACATCTCCTTTAAAATAAGGCCACTCCTGGCTGCACTGCTGGCATGGAAACGGAGGTCAACGTCGCACCATAACCGCTTTTAGTTCAGCATTGCAGAAATTCTTTTGCGATGTGATACGCACAACAAGCCGAGTTTGATCCGTTCTTAAGGAACGAAAATAATGCTCCCGCAAGTTGACAAGATGTCTCAACTTCGATCGGCGTCACAACATGTACGGCAGGAGGAAGAGGGGAAAAGCACTTGGCAGCGACAGACCGAAGAACATGCAGCAGTGCAAGAACGTAGCACGCTTCGAAGAAACGTCAACCGGAAAAAAGGATACGAATACCAATCGGATAAGCCGCATCGTGCATGCTGCCAAGAAACTGCTCAACCACCAGCATGGACCCAAAGCTAATGTTTTGGCTCTAAACGTCACACGAGAGCTGCAGACCACAAAACGAACTTCGAAAATGAACCCTGTCCACACCTTGAAGAAAGTCCGTGAGAGACGAACCGAAACGTCGGCAGTGGCTAATCACTCGATTGATAAATTCGTTTGCGCTGTGTATGAATAAAGCGTGTTTTCATACAGTCTTCACAAGAACCTCATCGGTAACATGAAATCAGATGACTGCACCGGAAAAAAACTCTTCACGTGGAAGATCGTTACTAATGTAAGAACAAAGACTTTGTCCTGGAACCAAGTCTCACCGGAAGCAACGAATCAGCCCCAGCCACTGAGGTTAAAATTCCTGTAATGTTGTTTCATGCCTTCATGAAATTCGTTCGACTGAACAGGAATGCGAAACAGCCACTACTTGCCCAACCGAACAGCCAAGATCTCGGGGATGGTCAAAAACAACCTGGGACAGGAGTATGGAAGGACTCCATGCGATTCGAGTTATCTTCCGTTGAAGCTTGAAACGCCAGCACGGATGACCAGGATCGGGAAAGTTGGAGACACCGTCTGAATGACTGATTTCGCTCCCTGTAGGTGCGGCTCGACCACCACTCGAAACGTTCGAGAGTCTGTACACGCGAATCTTGTGAAACTCGTTGCAACTCTGTGTCTTCCTCTTCTTCTTCTATAAATGGTCACTTAAGTGGTTCCAGAGACAACGAATCACAGCTAGTACTCGTTAATGTCATCGTCGACGATGCAGCCAAGTCACGCTGGCCATCGTCCAGGCAAACGGTGTTCGGCTTGTTTACATTATTTTTTCACCATCGAGTCCTGAAGGGGAACAAAATCAGCCGTGAACACGTTTACCGCAACAGTTTCTGACAAACGTGGACGAAAGCACCCGAAAGCGTAAAATACGGCTGGCATGAAGATGTCGAAAAACATTACCAAATCTGCTGATACCTGCCAAAACCGTCCAGCTCAAATCCAAACCACATGGCTGCATCTACACCCTACCGAACAGAAACCGCCAAAATTACAGACGAGAGAAAGAACGTCTCAGTAACGTGACCTGACAAGGCGGTGCAACATCGATCTCGTTGGCATGGATAAGGACAGAAATGGAACGGGTGAGGACAAACGAAACATCCGCAGATTTGGTGAAGGAAGCGAAGGCACTCAGCGAAAAGAACGCCGTGGAACACACAGTAGAAGAACTCACCGAACGTTAGGGGACCAAATGAAAGGAATGCGCTGTGGAAGAAACTATGGGGCAGGTCCTATTTTCGAGGCAAAAACTTCCATTGTAAAATCGCTACCTAAAAGCAACGATTTGAACCGTAACCTCGGCTGATTTATACCGTGTCCGTCCTTAAATACCGATCGAGGATCGTCGGAAACGTTGAAGAATATACATAATTTATGTAAAATATCGATATTTATTCTGATTTTTTGGTACGTTAACCGAACAGCAGCAGA